TGGAGTGTCCCTGTGAGCAGAGGGATAAATGTACCACTTCAAGCTCTTCTGGGAAGGACTAGATCTGAATTTCAGCTTCTCTGTTCACTTCACTTCAACTCACTTATTCAGCAGTAGTTTCCTACCTCTTGATTGCGATATGAAAATGATAAGCGGGAGAATACTTTTTTTTACCTACCTTTCTGTTTCCTCCTCCACCTCTTACTCATCTGAACATTAAAACAATATTTAGCAGCATTTTGAATTCCACAAACATTCTGCAGCTTCCTTCCAATGACACAATAACTGCTGACCACTTAATTACAGGGTGATGACTACGCTGTGGTGTGGCTGGGTAATTACAGGGCGTTTGTGGTTTATCATAACAGGGTTATTCCTCTCCCCTGGACGGCAGTACAGGTTACCCTTTGGGATCTCCTAAAGTTAATTGCATGCTAATCCACAGCAGCTTGCTCATACTCTATTGTTATGTATCTGGACTCTTGAGGCCCACCAAATTATTTTTATTGATACAGTACTGGACAAGCTAAATGGCTGTGCAATTTATGGGAAGTTTGCAGACTTTCTGTACTTGGAGATCCCACTTATTGCCCAGCCCTTAACACGAGCACAGTGGCCTCTGTCCCCAGCATCACAGGACTGTCTTGCATTGCTCCCTGTACCCCCGGGAGCAATGGGGGGTACATTGCACCCTGGTGCTGCAAGTATTACTCTTGTCAGTACAATTTATTAACAATAGCCTGTCTTGCTGGTCCTCAGATGTTAATTCTCCACTTTGTTTCATGCCTTGGAGCATGCTCTGTGACTCATATAGCCCTCTGGGGGACCCAAGCGTTTTTGGGGGGAATAATGCATGCAGTAACTAAACATCTTAATGACGTTCTTGGGCAACCCGAAGTCCACATGAGCACAGGCCCAGTTTTCACAGCTGTTTGCTAAGGCTTTTATCCTTCTTAATCATCTTACAAATCTACAGTTCAGTGAGAGCCATCTTGTCTTGAGGTGTTACTCCTATAAGGATATTTTAGATAAAATGGTTTTGTCTGTTCGTCTTTTAAAACAGGTAAAATACATTATAGAGAAAAACATACTCACAAAGTCACTGTGCATCAAGTAAGCGTAGGACTTTGTCTTCTGTCTGATAATGAGAAAAAAATCCACCACAAAATTTGTGAGTGTGTCTACAGAGTACCCACCCTACGGGTAGCATCTAAATCCAACTGAATTTTTTCTTTCATTCCACTTCAGCTGAATGTCAACCTCTGGGGACTTGAGTGTAAGGTCCATGCATCACTTAACTCTTCAGGAAGCCCTGCTTTGAACAGCTGAGTGGTACCGATCTGGGTGATGGGATCCAACCTGAATCCCACGCAGATGTGCTGCAGCTGAGACAAAGACTGTGAAAATGAAACATTTTTGTCATCTCTTTCAAATTTTTCCCTTTTTTCCCTTCCTCAACTCTCCCATGCTCACTGCCTTTCTGTGTTGGACAGCCTTCTGTATACACATGGTAGTTAGGTATTTGAACATCTCCCAACTACTGGCCCAGTCTCCTTTGGGATCAACAAGAAGAGCCTACCTTAGCTTTTAGGTACAAGAAATAACGTAAATACTGCAAAGTAATGCATTAAAGAGGCCAGTAAATACTGTTTCCTTAACACTGATGGCTGCATTAGGAAGAATGGGTTCTATCTTAACATTTTCAGAAAGGGTCAGCAGGCATATTTGGAATGAGATTTTCCAAAAAACATGTCCCCACTTCGAATAGTTTGGGGAGTCTCACAGCAGTTCAGGGTGCTCAGCCCTAGCTCCTTGCCATGACCAGGGAGCATGTGTGGAGTTCAGACAAAAGGTTGATAATGTGAGAAAAATAATACGCCCTCAAATTTCCTCAGCCTAGAGCTACCATCTCAGTGCTGTCTCACTGTAATTTATTTGCGTGGTAGCCTCTGGATATATTGCTTCCAATGGAGCTTGTCCCATGGGAGTTGGAGAGTAGTGCTGCACTCTGTCAGCACTCCTGGCATGTATCAGTTTGCCTCTACACATGGGATTCATCCATTTAATTTTAGCTATCCCAAAGGCTCCCTCTGCCACAAGCCTGGGATACAACACACCTCCCCATTGCAACCACCTCTGTCGGCGTGGAGTGAATCACCGTCTGGAGGAGCTGGAGGACTTACCTGGACCTCATACTTCCCTCTGTATGGTTAATGGCCACAGAGGGGACTGTTGCCCAAAGGTTTCTAGCCGTCCCCAGCAGCCAAGTCTGCCAGACTGCCAGTCTAACTGGGAGGGTGAGTAAAATGCAGGTTGACTGGATTGTTGCAAGACACAGTGCAGGTGCTACGCATCATGCTGAGCGTCTTCTCCGCCTAGCAGCAAATATAACCCAAAGCTTTTACTTTTCCTGATCAACCTCTTAAAAAAGCAAAGGAGACTTCTTTCAAACATGGTACACAGTCAGAAATATCTTTTCTCCAGACTAAAATAAATTGTTGTCTCTAGGAGAAATTTTGGTTTCTCAAACATGTTTGCTACCAAGCAGTATATTGTTGATATAAAATAGGCATGCACTATGTGGTAAGCCATGTTTGTGAAGATGATACCCCTCTGCTGAATGCAAAATGATTACATTTTGAAGCAATGTTTTTCCCGGAGCTGGGATCATCTCTTTAGCCTCTGGATTGTAACATGTTGAGTCATTTTGAACAGTCTCTTCTTTAGAGAAGAGACAAAGCCTCCAAATCCCAGCCTACTCTTGAAGTGTCTCCTGCTTCACTGTCCCGGCACAGAAGGCAATACCTGCCCAGGCTGGGAGAAACTCCCGAGCAGGGAAGGGGAGAGTGGCTCCCTATTCAGTGTGTTCAGTTATGGTGATACAGTAGCGATGTCTGTAGCCTGAAATTATAATAGAGAAGTGTTGAGGAGCTGTGGATGTCAGATGCAGGAGCATAGGCTGGGGTAAGGCTTCCTCTATCTGCAAAGCTACCGGTGGGTTTGTAGGCATAGGCACGTACATTCCAGCTGCTGCATGGTTGCATGGTTTCTCTCCCGTTCAGGGAACCTGCAGCTAAGATCCAATGAACCAGCTGGCTGTGTCTGCTCCATGGGGTTGGGGAACCAAAAGAAACTACAGTTCTGATGTGAGAGGGACAGTGGGAAGGCTAAAGTTCCTCAGGTCCTGCCCACCACCTCTGTTTGCACGGGCATTTCTGAGTTTGCAAAAAAACATGAAAATGTTTTGAATTGCATCCATTTGTAGCTGTAGATGTTGCAGCAAATCCTGGACGGGGAGGAAATGTGGCGATATAGGCAGTATGCAGCTATCAAATGGATCAATAGCTTAGATATATAGATGAAATTTAATGTATCTCTACACGCATTTGTCATAGTGTCAGGTGAAACAGTGTGTGTAATGATAGCATGCCTTAGGAAAAGGTCAAGGCTAGATGTGATAACCAAGAGGTTTAGGATTAATGTATTCTGTCCAGTTCTCTGCTGCCCACCACATTGTGTCCATGTCACTGCAACTTGTACAAAATGACTGCGAAACGCATGGTAGAGTTTGCCGTTCCTTTTGCACAAATGTGAGATGTGAAGCAGAGAGCAGCCAGGTTTTGTGGCCCTTAAATTATGCAAAATCTAAGAAACCCAACCCCACCCAACTTCCACCCCCCCAAAAAACCTCCCAAACATCAGCATTGATTTGAAGAGAAGAACCTGCTTTAGAAAACGTGTTTACATGTTCCATAACAATTAGTGCTAATTTCCCCCCACCTAAATTTTGAACAGCATTGCAAAAGAGAGCCAATATTTCTGTGCAGCAAAGAGCCGTTTCTACGGAAAATATAGTAAATAAATCTGGACATCTCCAAGCTGCAAATAATCTTATGTATGGTGGTTGGGAACAGCAGAGCTCACTTTTGTGTACAATGATAAGTATGGAGAACTTTAATGTTTATGTAAGAAAAACTGTCTTTAGGTGAGGCCTGTACCAGGAAAATTACTAAAATTCAGGATACCTGTTTTGGATAACTGCATTGCTGATTCATTAGATAACCTACTTTGCTTAGCACTCTCTCTGCAAGACGAACTGCAATCTTACTTGAAATGAATATGACTCTGAAAGCAGATGCTCCAATTTGTGCTTTTTTCAGCATGCTGCTTGTTTCTAAAACAATGCAGAACCACAGCAGAAGTGAAATTTGGAAGAACACAGACTTGAGGGAAACTTTCAGTGCAATTTGCACTCTTAGATCTGCAAGGGATTCATTGCCCTGCCTGGGCAGCTAATCACTTGCAGCATCAGTGGTTCAGCTGCAGATCTGTACCGCCGAGAACAGTGCTCGCACAACTGACACGCCATCAGGCGATTTACAGGCCATGCTGCCAGATGACGCTGTGCGTCCGAGACCAGACTTGAGGTCGCGGGCAGCAGAATCGTGCTGGCAGGCCTCGGGGCCCTGCGCAAGTGCCCGCACCTCTGTCTGCCCAGCGCTCCCCTTCGGTGCACAGGCCCCCGGGCAGAGAGGGGCGTGGGAAACCATGCAGGGCATATGTCGCCTGCAGAAGGTGGATGAATGGTTTTTACGAGGTTCATGCAGTCGCTATGTGTTTTGACCTGTCAGGAGCTGTTTCAGAACAAGTGTACCTTTTCTTTTCTTTTTTTTTTTTTTTCTCCTGCCTAAACTGTGAATTCCATATCAGGTACTAACAACAAACATGGCTCATCTCAAAAGAATTCATAATTAACTAAACGAATTCATAATTAACTTCCACTGCAATTTGTTTGGGTCTTTCTTTACATAAGATATAAGCTCTGGTGGGAATTTGAAATGCTCTGAAGCATACACTGTCTTCTGTGTAACTGCTGCTGAGCCTACAGAAAAGCTAACCTGCTGTAACTGCACAGTGTGTGTGTTTGTATATTAGAGATCTCTGACAGACCTGTTTTTCTTTTTCTCTTTCTCTTCCTTGTCTTCTTTCTGCATTGGCAGAGCATCTTGGATTTGAATTAAAGGGTATGGAACAACCATTCATTTATTAATCAGAAGCCATTAAGAGCTGCCCACATTATATTTATGGCTTTAATGGGATGATTAAAAAATCAGCTGTTCTGTTCTCTTCCCTGGCACCAAGATAGATGTTTGGATTGAAAAAAAAAAAACCAAAACAAAGCAAAACACAAAATCTAAATGTAAACCTATAAAAATGCACGTGTATTTTTAGCAGCACTTTTTTCTTTGTTTCAAGCAGCAGCCTGGTGTGTGTGGCGTGACTGGGATGTTACAATTGCCATACGTCTCCTCATTCAGCATGCTTTTGTGTATTTAACTGAAAAGCTGGAGTTTGTGTCCATCCAAAAGGTTGCCGGCAGGCACCACTTGGGAAGGGGCAGACATTCCAGGAACGGGAAGGCAAGTTCTAGGAAGATCAGGGCTTTTATAGAAATTGCCATCCTAGACACACTAACCTCCACTGGATCCTACAAAGGGTTAGGATGAGCTTTGCCATTCCTCCTCCCAAAGGTTAGCGGTTTATTTTGATTCTTGACTGGGAGGAAATTGTTCCAAGAAAGGTGGCGAGTTAGTCTGGAAAACAGTGACCCAGGGAAGTCAGTAGTCTCCCATGAGAGTGAAGGGTGTAACGCTGAGCATCATGGTGGCAAGCTGAAGTTTGGAAAAACACTGCAGTAACTTAAATGCTTTTTAAAATATCCCCTTTGGGCAATTACCTGCTCCTGCCCAGTTGCTCATAATCATATTATTTTTCTTCCATTCTCCTCTCCTCAGTCTGTTTTTAGAAATATATCAAGTATCTTTTGAGAAAGCACCTGGGAAATCAAATCATTGAGGCTAGGTTTCCCTTGAGTGTACAGGCCAACCACAGGGAGGGCTTGGTCAGATGAGAGCAGAGAAATTTATCCTTATCACTTAGCTTAAAAACATTGACCCAGCAATGTCAGCCAGAGCACATCTTCACGTGAAGACACTTCAATTCCATTTGCTGGAGGTATGGGGACACCAATCTTTCACTTCTGGATCCTAAACTATCTTCTCGGGTCCCTGAGGTGGAGCGACATGCGCTAGCGCGGAGAAGCTGGAGAAACTTGTCTCCCCTGGTTTTTGCATGCCTGATCCACCGGGATTGGTGTGTATCCCCCAGCAGTTCTTCCCTGCTGCAGAAAACGTGTGCATTTTATGGTCAGGTGTTTCAGAGAAAGTGGTGCTGCTAATGCTAATACACTTAAATAAACTTTAAAATTGAGGATTTTTGACATCCCTTTTTTGTTGACCTTTCGTCCTTTTCCTCATCCGTTCTCAATGTCATCACAGAACCGCACACATCCTGTTCCCAGTCTGCAGTCGTCTCTTCTCTGTCATTCGTCTTTCACTTTCATGCGTTGCTGTGACACCCATGGCTGGACTGTGATCCTGTCGGCATTATGTGGCACCACATGGTTTGTTCATAGTGTTTGCTGCTGTAGAGTGACGATGCTGCTGATGAAGACGTGGTGTTTGTAGAGCATAGAGACACAAATGGACAAGTCCTGCTCTAGGATCTTACCTTCTCAAATACAAAATTGTAGTGTGCATTCTCTTATTTTCTTTCTGTCACTGTTGAGATGGTTTTGTGCAACATGAAGATACTGTGTTGTTGTCAAGCATTAACTCTAATGAGATGTTAGGAGCCAAGCAAAATTACTATCAGCAGGTCATTTAATTTTTAGTTTTGCAGCAGTGACGCACAGCCTCACACTTCACTGCTTCACACGGTGGGGCTGTCAGCTCAAGACAGAGAGGCTACATCTGCATTTCTGATGAACTGAAACATTCCCCATGGAGTTGAGGTGCAGGTTCAGGACAGTCAGACATGCCAGAGTCAGGGTCCCATACTGACATGATCACCAGAACAGAGGCTGTGATTTGAGCCTTGGGCAAAAATTTTGTCGTAGGTAATAGGTTAAAAAAAAAAAAAAAAAAGCCATAGTTTTGATGGCTTTGCTCTTTCTCCCTCTTCCATGATTCAAAGGGAATGATTTATGCTTGGGAAAAAAGTCTTTGTAGCAAAAACCAAAACATAGCTGGTGAAGAATTTTTGAAAAAATTGGCTTGATGGATGGGTCCATGGTGAAAATTGACCTCCTGCCCGGCCTTTTTTTTTGGTAAAAGTATTTTTTGCTGGGTAGAAGCAAAATTCTTGCCTTGTGCCATCCGTAACCAGGACATGATCCTAGCTGGTTTTCCTGATTCTGATAAAATCTCTGAAACTCCTGTCTGAAGGAAAGAGCTGTACAGCTGGAATCCAGGTCCCAGAGCAGGAAAACTTGTCTGCCATGGTTGCTGATGCTTGGAATAGGGCATCCGTGCAAGGGAAACACGTCACTGAAGGAGGTGTTTCACCCCAGAGTTCTTTCCTCATGCTAGCTCCACCTGGTTCCTTGTAGTAAAACACAAGGAGTATAAGGTGAGGTAGCAGGTCCCAGGCCGTACCGGCTCTGGCTCTGAGGAGGTGCAGCTGGCTGGTGAAGCTGCTGCGCGCAGTAACTGTCAGCCCCAGTGAGACCCATGACCTGTCGCTCCCGGTCCACACCACTGTGGAGATGGAGTCTGGGAGAGTCTCAGCTGCCCGCCTCTCTAGTGAATGGTGGGACATTGCCTTCCTGGCAACTCCACCGGCACCCTGAGCACCTCATGAATCCAAAGGCCAGCGTGCAAACAAAACGGATGGAAATGTATTTCTTTAAACTCTAGCTTTGCAGCACAGGCACTAAGCAAGCACTGCTGATTATCTTTTGCATCTTCATGCCAGGGCTGTCATTCTCAGACCTCGTTTAGTAAATCTTTCTTCATTCCTATTTTAAGAGTTAGAAAGAGATAAAAGTTTTTCCTAGCACTTTTTTTTTTCTTCCAAAAATGCTTTTTCCTTCCTAAAAGGGCAAGCTGAAATTGGTCTAAATATTCAGTTATCCAGAATGTGTCATTGCTTCCCCCTTGCTTTTTTGCTGAAGTCTAATCCCAGGGGTTTCTGGGACCAGACCTGTTTCTTTTCTGGTTTTGTATTTTGTTGTTTGGTAGCACTGGGGATATCATATAGTCCATTCAAGGTATTTAGTGTTGCATGGTGAACCATGCCAAGCACAGCAACCATGGCATGAGTTTTATTGCCTAATCTGTAAGAAAAAGTATTTCAATGAATATTAAAGAAGGCACAAACCCCAATAACTTTAACGGTAACACATAGTATGAGGGCATGAGGACATCATTCATAGATGCTGAACTGAAATGCTCACGGCAGCTGTAACTGAGTCCTTCTCTCAGTCATCCAGCTGGAGAACCAAATTGCCTCTGCTGATCTCAGTGGAGATTGCTGGATGTCGTGGAGAAGAGCATCTGCTCTGGTGTAGCCACAGAGGAAGAGGTGTCCTTGCCATGCGATTGCTGCCTAGGTGTAGTTCAGTTACACTGCAAGCGACATCCTAGCATTTCCTTGGAGCTTTGATTAATGCGAATGAATTACCTCACTTCCAGCATGGTCTGGGTTTTGATGCAAGTGACTGACTTTTCTGGTTTGAAAGGTGGTCCATGACAAATGGTGATATTTGAGAGAAGCAGCAGCATGCTGCTTGAATTTTGTGTGTGCATCTGAGTTACCTGGTGCAATGGAATTAATCGCTTCCTAGGGTTTCATTAAAAATCCATGTGTAATTCATTACTGTATTTTAATTACTCCACTTCCTTTTCTTTGTCTAATTCGCTATCACTTTCCATCCTCATTCTGCTTTTTGACTGTTTTAGGATGTCCCTTTCAGCACCTACATGCTTTGGGGCCTGTTGCTCGGTGGTTTCTAGCATGCTGCCGAGCTCCAGGGCATGCAGCCGCTGCAAGGAAAAGGCATTCAGAGTCCGTCAGAGCAGAGAGCCTGTGATGAGAGCATCACAGGGCATGCGTGTACATCACAGGGCATGGTGGTGAGTGGGGGTTGCTTGGGGACTTCCTTGGTAGGCTACTAAGTTACCGAGAAGGGGGGATCTGCTGGAAGGGAGAAGAGAGTCGTCGGGCTTTTTGAGATTAGTCACCGAGTTACGCTGCGGGAAAAGAAGAGAAGGCGAGAAGCGTGTTTGAGCGCAGAAGGGGTGAGCTACTGAGCGAGAGAGGGCAGAGGAGCAGAGAGACAAAAGGAGTGAAGGTCTCTTGAGGGGTGAGCAAGGTTGGGCCAGCTGGTCTCAGGTGTGGGGCAGCTATTAGAGACGGGCAGTGGATTGGTAGGAGGTCTGACCGAGCCCTGTTCTCCTTCTTACCCACACGCAGTGCTGGTTCCTGTGCAGCCAGACGCATCCCTGGTGCTGGAGCCCATTTGTAACTGGTGTCTTTCCCTCCATTTGCAGAAGCGGAAGAGCTCTACCAGAAGAGAGTTTTAACCATCACGGGAATCTGTGTTGCCTTGCTTGTGGTGGGCATCGTCTGTGTGGTAGCTTACTGTAAAACCAAGTGAGTATGGGTGGTTAACAGACAATAACTGGCCAGAGGTTACTGAGTGGTAGTGTTCATGCTTCACGCTTTCATGCTCTTCACCCAAATGCTATTTTAAGGAGATGCTCTGCTGTGGTATTCCCAGGAAGGTCTCATCAAGAAGGCCAGTGAAGCCATCTACCAGGCTTTGCCTGAGCAGGATGTTTTCCTGAGACGATTTGCTTATCCCCTGAATCAGCATCATTTCACCCAGCCAGGTGGTGCTGTGTTACTGGGAAAAGCTGGCCCCCAAGCCAGCAGCTCATCTCCTGACGGCAGAAGCACACTGAACTGTTGTGCAGGAGCTGTAGGCTCAGCTATGTGCATTTCAGGGACTTTCACAGCAACCTTGATGCAACAAGAGGCTTGGGGACTTCTTTTACGGCCAGCCTTCCCTGCCTGGGCAGCACCTTTTTCCCTACTTAGCCTGCACCTCACCTCAGTTTAGGGTGCCCCTGGGACATGGGGGGTCTTGTGGAGTGGATGCGCTGCCAGGGGAATGGGTAGGCTTTGCCACTTTGTGCTTAATGCAGGACAGGTCAAGTGCCTTGCCACCAAGGCCAAGCCAGGACCTGCTTCCCCTTTTCCTTCTCCCCGCTTTTCTCCTCCGCTCCCAGTGCCACGGTGCCCCTGGCTCCACTGCATTGTGCTGGGCCTTGTCTTGCAAAAGGGGACCCTGGACCCAGCTTCCCAAATTGCCCATGATGAGAAATGTTCACCTTTTTTTGAAAAAGCAGCAGAAGGTGGCAAATATTGAATGCCTTGTTTCTTCCTGTTTGCAGCTTTCCACAAACACCATTGAAACAGCAAGTGTGTCCGAGACTTGCCTTCACTATCGTCTGCATCACCCAGGTTTCTCTGGGGGCAGACAGCCCCATGAGATAAGTCTTCCTAACAGATTTTTTCCTTTCTGTTTTAAAGGAAACAAAGAAAACAAATGCATAATCATTTACGGCAGAACATGTGCCCTGCCCATCAGAACAGGAGCCTTGCGAATGGGCCAAGCCATCCACGTTTGGATCCTGAGGAAATCCAAATGGCCGATGTAAGACCTTTTGTCTCCATCTCCTTGCGTGTTACTGAGTGCCTATTTTCTGCCAGGGATTTGACGTGGATGTGTATGCTTACACACCTGTGTGCATGTGCGTGAGGAGCAAAACACTAAAAATTTGAACAAAAAGATGAGATTCTGCATAGAAACGTTTCCAAAACCAACATCTGAAGGGAAATGTGATTTTACTTTGAAGCACAGGATGAGATTAGAGCACTTGGGACAGGTTTGTTTTGATGAATCAAGTGTGATCCTGTTTTCCTCTGAGAGATGTTCCCGATGTTTCCTGTTTATTAAGCTATACCGTCAAGCCCCACTTTGCAGCATGACAAATGCGGTCAGCACGGCGGTGGCCGGAGCCGCCGCAATGACCATGTCATGCTGAAGCATGTCGTGGTGATCTGGTTGGCACCGTGTTAGCCCACTTGCCCGTACCAAGAGTTGCATCCTGGGCCAGGTGGAATGTCCTGGTGAGGTACCAGTGTCATGCCAGTAAGAACGATCTAAGAATTTAGGACCGGGTCCAGACGGGCGTTTCAGCCACTCTCGTGACTTCAGTCACATGAGATTCCCATCAAACTCCGTGAACTCAATAGGACTGTCAACGTGCTTAAGTGCCTTGCTGGACAAAGGCATTGAAAGGGGTCAGAAAAAGGGAGGGGGGAGGTAGAGCCAAACGAAAAGAAGCCCTGATGGAAATGAGTACAATGAATCAGTTACAAGCTCTGCTGGTCACCCTTTGGATGTTAAAATTTAGCTAGGTTGAATCCCAGCCATGAAGGAAGAGGGAAAGGGAATTTCTAAGAACCACACCCCTCTGGCCCCAAAGTACTGACTCCCCCAGAGAGCTTAGTGTCCCTGTGAAAAGCAGTGCTTCTTGTTAGATGAAGGAATACCTCAGCATAAATATTTGGATTAGACCTGGTGTTTCTGTAGGATGCGTATCTCTGGCAGATCTCATGTGGTTGTCTTTTTGCTGGTACTGTCGGGTGTATAACCTCCTGTGAGCAGAGATGTTTTTTCTGCTCAGTAGCTACACATGGTACCACTGTCCTCTGGGGAACCCTTGGATCTTCATACCCTTCTGCAGTCCCCGTGCCACGGCCCTTTTCCAGTGTTCAGGGGCAGAGAAGAGCCTCCAGCCTCCTTGTCTCTTTCCGTGGGGTGTGGAGATGCTGGGTTCACTCAGTCCTCATCCGATTTCACCAGAAATAATCAAGCCAGCTGAATTTAGCCGTGGCAGCGTTGGCAAGCTGGTGGCTGATCTGATTCTTCATATTTTACAGTATATTTCTAAGAATGTTTCTGCCACCGAGCATGTGATCCGAAGGGAAACGGAAACAACCTTTTCGGGAAGTCACTCCTGCTCCCCGTCTCATCACTGCTCCACAGCCACTCCAACGTCCAGCCAGAGGTGATGTATACCATTTTCCCCTGAACTTTCTCTTGCTGTTTGCCTTAGGATGCTGTGAGATTCAAAGCCAGTAAAAGGTTTTCCTTTCACCTCCCTTTCTGTTTTTACATGATTTTTGGCACTACACTGGCATACTGGCCGTGTCGACACTGCGAGTCTTTGCTGGCACAGCTAGTTAGTGAGAGGTGTGGAAAAGTGTGATCCTTGACCTGCAGCGAGGTGCCAGCAGAAACCTGCAGCGCTGACATAGCTGGAAACTGGGAGGAAATGAAGTTGTGCTTTCATGCTTTGCACAGACACACAGGGGAGGATGCGTCTAGGAAAGGTTTTGCAAGTTGTGTTTGCAACAACACTGGAGACCTGCAATAATTCATTAAGCGCACACAGGTTATTCGTTTCATGCTTGATATATTTAGAATGTATTTGCCTTGTGGAAGGCAAAATACACAAAATATCACAAAATGTTTTGGCCAGTTCCTCAAAGTTAGGGTTTGACTTGGGAGTCACAGTTTTTCACCAGAAAAAACACTCCTGTGCAATTTATCACAGTCCAGAAAGTTGTGTTAGAATCCCAGCCTCTGAGGTGGTGGCACCTCTTTCACTGGAAGTCTTTCTGAAGCTCTCAGGAAAACTGGGGCTAGCAGGAAAGTACCAATAATTCTTGCTACACAGGATGAGGCATAATTTTTTTTACATTTCAAAATAGCCATTGGGGGGAAGAGCAGCATGGCTCAGAAGCCGAAGTTCTCACAGTTTTTGAAAGCATTTAAATTGCAGATGGAGCTTCCCTCTTTTTATGATGTCCAGAAAAGTCCTTCAGATGCTCTAGAGAAAGTCCTGCTGTTTTGAGTTAGGATGTTCAGGTTCTTCCTCTTATATAGCTCTTGTGCTTCTTCCAGTAAGGGACAGTGTTTCCCTAGGAGAGCACTTACCTTTGAAAAGTGACTGCGAGGTGCAGGGGGGCCATATCTACAGCCTGTCAATGATGCAGAGATCACATTGCGTTGACTTTGTAAAGCAAAAGATGTCCTGGCTTATTTACTTCATTAGCCTGATGTGTTTGTCTCCATTTGCCCAGGAAGCAATTAATCCTTCCAGCTAAAGCTCAAAGATGGTTCCTGGCAAGTTTCTTCAGGGTTCAGGCATTCATCAGGGGTGAGAAAGTACTCTCGGTGTACAACGTGTCAGATCAACTTCAGCTATTGAACTTAGGTTTTCAGGTGAATCCCTCCTCTGGCTAGACCTCCAACAGGTAGAGAGGGAGCCATGAATGACTTGCTGGGCTGGAAATGACTGCCTTTGTCCTGGAAAATCCTACGCCTGGTGTGCTAGACAGTGTGATTTCCAGGTTTTTTTTAATTTGTACGTTGCGGCCCAACCCTGGGTAGGTGCATGCAAGCTTGAGCCAGGAGCACAGAGGCTCCTGTGGCTGCAGAGCTGCACCTCGCTGGCCTTCCATGCTCACTTCAAAGTCCTGGGACCCCGGGGCCATCTCTGGGCACCTCCTGAAGACGCAAAGGTGTGTCTGGAGGGCAGCATTAACACATGACAGCTGTGGGGAGGCACCTACCTTGCATAGCCTCTGGTCCTGGCTACCTGCCACCTAATCTTCCTGAGTCAAGGGAGGCGAGCAGGTGTTTCTTGAAGTCACGCCAGAGGCAAACTACTGGCACAATCAGCCTCCATTTTACTCCATCAGCACCTCTGATGATGCCGCCGTTTGAAGTTATAAATGAGTGTGGTGGCTGCAGCCGAGCATGTGCCTGGAGCCATCAATAATTAACAAGTTCTTGGGAAGTTTTAATGAGGCCTGCTCTCCTCTGCAAACCCCCACCCAAAATCCTCTGCCGGCACAGCTCCATGCGGTGCAGTTTGGGAGTTCAAGGCTGTTGCTCTAATGGATCACATTCTGCTATGGAGAGGGGTCAGCCTGGTGGCCGTGGTGCAGGTGGGCCCCCGTGTGCGCATGGCCCCACGCGTCCCCGCTGAGTCCTTGCAGGGTGTCTTCTTTGCACCAGGACTAGGGCAGGTGGAGCTCCAAGTGCTCAGCAAGGTCTAGCCAACACATCATAGTTTTTGTCTAGCACCTTGAAAGTATTTTGCTGCCAAAATCTTTTATAAACCAGTGGAAACTGAACATCTAGATACACCTTTAGTATGCCTTTCTCTGCTGATGACGAAGTAATTTTGAGTGGTTTTTTTCTGGCTCCTTTCTGGTAGCATTTCTGAAGGGGCTGTCACTTGGCAATGCAGATGGCACATTTGAAGATCCTTTGCGGACTTGCCTTGGCACAGCCAGTGCGTTGCTCCACACCCAGAACGCTTTGCAAGCACAAAGCAGAATTTCCCTGGCCTTCCTCCAGAGGCTGTCCCGTCCTGTCCCCAGCCGTCAGGAGGTGGTGTGATAAATACCCAGTATGCACTGGTTTGCCTTTCTTTACCCTCTAATCATATCTCCAAGAGGTAGCAAAGAAAGGCAAATCAAAGGCAAGGTTGGGAAGTTGGGCTTCCCTGGCCAGATGTGTCCTAGCGAGAGAGAGAAAGGGGATGCCAGTGCAGAGCAAAGTGTGAGCTGCGCCTGCACGCAGCTCTTTGGAGAAGACTTTGGTGGGGATTCCTTGCTCACTGTCCTTATGGGGTTTGGTTCACAGACATGAAAGCCACACGTGGAGCTTGGAGCGGACGGAGAGCCTGACTTCAGATTCCCAGTCTGGGATAATGCTGTCCTCAGTGGGAACCAGTAAATGCAACAGCCCTGCGTGTGTGGAGGCACGGGCTCGCCGCGGGGCCGCCTTCTGCATCGAGGACTCGCGGAGGCCCATGACGCAGTATCGTGACTCGGTGGATTCTCTGCGGGACTCACCGCACAGCGAGAGGTCAGACCCCACTGCCTGGTGCTGCCTGGCACAGCAGAGGCGAGCCATGCCCTCTGTGCCGGACACAAAAACGTTTGCCTCTGCTCAGCCCTAGAGCAGCAGTCCCATGGTAGCACTGGAGAAACTCCAGCTCTGGTCCTACCAGAGGAAGCCACTACCCCAGGAGGCCACTCTGGTAGGGGCAGCAAGCACTGCACCCTGCCCACCTGGTGACAACGTAGGTTTGGAGCACAGGGATGAGAGGCGGAAAATACCTGGCTGCAGTCAGCAACAGGTGAAGAAAAACTGGCTGAGAGCACACCCCGGGGCAGCTTGGTGGGCTGGCACCCTCAAGCAGGGTCTGGCCCTCAAGTGTATGGGGAAAAAAGATGTGCGTCCTCAGCGTAGTCCTGGATGACCTGGTGAGCAGGGGTGCTGTATGTGGGCACAGCCTTGGGGCAGGGCTCTGTATGACCCAGCCTTCCGGGGATTACAACTGCAGAGCTGAGACACCATCAGCCAGTGAGAGGCAGCAACAGTCATCCTCTTCCCGGGTCTGGTTCCTCACGATGCAGAAGCACATCTCCAACCTTGCTCCAGCCCTTTGTGTGTAGCCGTGGGCAACCCTGGGTGGCCATGTGGCCACTTCCAGGCAGTTACCCTTCAAGGCAGTGGGACTTGTCCATGGGGCAGAGGAGAAAGGCAGCATCTCCTGCTCTCTCAGTCTCTAGGCTGACCTTGCTCGTGTGGACGTCTCATACTTCACAAGACACGCGGGTAAAAAGGCACCGGATAAGCCTGGGCAACCTGAAATGAAATCTGCTCCTTAGAAAGAGGTGATGCTGAAGGAAGGGCTGTTTGGAGAGGGGCTAGACCAGACCTGAATTGCCACACTGATGTTGTCACTAGAGTAGATGAGAGCAGTAGATGCCTTTTTGAGACACAGGATTTTTGCTAAGTCAGAGGAAGCAATGCCCAGGCTTTCCCTATCTGTGGCCTGAGCAGGAGGAGGGCATTTTGGGGACCTTCCTCGGAGACAAGCCTGGCAGCTCCAGAGGGAACAGAAAGCAGCTGGCAGGCAGATGAGCAGCGGGGAAATCTTGCCTCAGCCTGCTGGGAGATGCTGCAAGGTTTGCAGTGATGCAGGGTGGGAATTGCACACCGAGTCCCTCGGGAGAGGCGGTCCTGGGATGCACAGTGCATGGTGCCCAAGCCCCCGCCGAAGCCAGCAGCTCATCCTCCCTCAGCACAGCAGTGCAAGGTCCCTCCGCCTGGTTCCCCAGGAGGTGCCGAGCTCCAGGACCAGGTGCACTGGAGGCCTCATGGGTCCCTGCGCCAGGTGTTCGGCAGAGCGCGGGCGCAGCTGGAGGTTTTTGGGGTTGTTCGGTGTCCAAACAGAGGTGTTGCTTCTTTCAGGTACGTGTCGGCCCTGACCACACCAGCACGCCTGTCGCCTGTTGACTTCCACTACTCGATGGCCGCGCAGGTGCCCACCTTCGAGATCACATCCCCCAACTCGGCGCACGCCGTCTCCTTGCCGCCAGCGGCCCCCATCAGCTTCCGCGTGGAGGAACAGCAGCCCCTCCTGCGGCGGTACCAGCTCCCCTTCCAGGACACGCAGAGGTACGACAGCTACTACCAAAGGAAGACCTACCTAAACGACAGCATGGGGAGCCTGCCCTCCAGCCCCTTCCGGATCACGGAG